TTTTTTTTAAATTAAACACTATCTAAAGATTTGCATCGAAGCGTTTATTTTTGATAGTGATTTTAATCACTGTCAGATATCATTTACTTGATCCAACTATGCCTCGTCACCACTGTGTCGCGACCCCCATGTGCTGGGTTTTTTTTATTTTTAATTATCATTTTTTTAGAACTTTCCTCGAAAAAATTAATTATCTTGTCTTTGCCTTCAAAAAAGTTAATTGAAATTATTCCCTTTAAAAATTAATAAAATTATATGTCTTGTTTAATAAAAATATTCTCTTAGGAAAAACTTAATGGTCATAGAAAATGTCATTATTTAATTTATAAATTATTAATTATCATGTGATTTTTTTTTTATTTCAACAGATAACTCTATATGATATGACAATTTAATTTATTTAACTAGATCACCTGTCAATAATTTTCTGGTTGAACTAATTTACCTTTAATAATTAAAAAATCAGTTATTAAATGTTAATATAAAATCATTAAATTATCCTTTTAGCTTCTACTTCAATTATTTGAGGTCGGCTCTACCATAATGATATGGAAGAATTTCACACTAGCTATCAATCTGATACAACCTCGTTATGGCTGATAGAGTCACTGTTAAAACTTCCAAAAGGTCATCCATCCGGAAATAAACAGCAAATAGCGCAGTTGAACATTAGTTTTAAGGCGTCGACTGAATAATTCACTGAACTACTTTATGTTACTCATTATAATATAAAATCATATATTTTTTGGTAATTGTAATGACAGTAAAAAAATTTAATTTATACATTAATATTTGACTAAATGATGTTTTCTTCTTTTTCTGTGGATTAACATTTACCTCCATATTACTATAAACTAATTAAATTTCATAATGTCTAACCTATTTTGTTATATATTTTTCACTATTATCATTTCCAAAATTTTATTGTGGGATGACACTTGTTGTACTTTAAAATATTAATGTTAAATATTTTTACTAACCTCGTTAGATCCATAATCACCTCCTGTACATATCCCATTATTTATTATGAACTTCCAAGCTTTTTCCGGATGCCCACCATTACATCCTCTACCACAACTTCCAGTACAACAAGACAATAAGTATTCACCAGATAGATTATTATCAATTGAACCATTAGTTGCTATGCATATGCGGTCACTGAATACCGAGGCAGTAGATAATGCCTACAGCCAATTAACAAATTTTAGAGAACTTGTTAAAATTAACACTTTTTATACTTTGATAAAAAAAAGTACAACTTACCCAACATGACCCACAATTTGATTGATTTTTCACTGATAAAATTGATTTACATTTAGACCATTGTTTTGAAGCATCAAAATTTTCTGGAAGAACTTCGATTTCGTTGAAGTCTTTGTCTAAAATATTGTTACTATTGTGATGAATTGCGAAACCCAAATCTTCTAAAGATTGAGTATATTTTTCATTTATAGGAAGAACCCCCATTATATTTTCAATTTCTTTTAATTGTTTTGATTTAAAATTAAACCCAGCCTAAACATTTCAAAGTAATAAAGTAATTTTACAATACGAATACGTCAAAAATTTCAAGTACATTTTACCTTCCATGTATTATTCGGTATATTATTCACATATTTTATGATTTTGTTCGCTTCTCGATTGATTGAAACAATGGACTTAGTTTTTACTTGATTAAAAAAAAATAAAATAAATATAAAAGAGTAGAACATTTTTCCTTAACACAACTTATTTATTCGAATAAGTATTAGAAAGAAGTATTCATTCTTATTTTCAAAGTATAAGTGATCAATAGTCGAGTTAATAAGAATTATTTATTGCAACAAGATAAGATATTACCACGTGAAATGATGTAAGATTGGTATTCAGTTATTTTATAGAACTATTTTGTTCTACGTAATTACTTGTACAAATAAAAAAATATCAGGATACTTGCCTCTTCAAGTACACCACAAATCATTTTACATAATAATCATCTTTTAAAATTTATATTTAATTTAGAATAAAATAAAAATTATTGATTTATTTTTAGCAGTGGTGAAAGCTTCATTAAAGATCAATATCTTAATATTAATATTATTTTCATTATCATATTCGCTGTATTTTTATAATAAGGATTCGTTATGAATAATATTGTCATTTGAGACTAAACAAATAATTAAAACTTATGGCTATAAATATAAGTAAAGTGATATTGAATTTCTATGAATACTAACTAAAAGTTAATTAAATGTATATTTTTTATAGTTGCGAATGAATTTGTTATTAAAAGCATATTTGTGCAATTAATCATAGAATATTGTTAAGATGACAAAGTCGATACCGAAAACTACATGCCGTCGCGTGACCGGTAACTTTTTTATTATTTATCATATTAGATAATAATTAACTTGATTTCACGAATGAAAATTCCTATTTAGTATACTAATCAATTTAATTAGTCAACCGAACAATTATAAATATTTTATAGGTTACATTGCTGTACTTCAATATAATTTAATCAGATCCTATTATATATAATTTATTGTCTCTCTTATTATAATATATATTTGCGCTTTTGTTTATGGCGAATTCCTAGCAAAAGTGCAAATGGATGAATTTGGTAAAAGCCGATCTCGATTTATGCATCGTAATAAAATTGTGCAATTTATCAAAAGTTATAAAAAAAAAATATTTTTCGTATCAAATAACATTTTATATTCACGACTAAAATTTGGATTTTTACTGTGTTTTATAGATTATATTTAAATAACTTAGTAAGGCTCAGTCTAGTATTAGAGTAGGTTGATCGGTTCTAATATTTACTGAAAATATAGACTTGAGCAAATGCCCAAGTTGGTCCCTCCATCTAAATGACGCACCTGACATTTTGTTTGATTACTCGTTAGGTGCAATTTATAATTTTTTAAAGCCTATCCGAGTTTAATATTCTAAAAATAATAGTTAAATACCATACAATAATTATAAATATAAATATAATATTTGTAATGTAAATTTAGTTGGAATTTTTTTCTTTGTTAAATATTTTGTTTTATTTTAAAAATGTATAACATTCTATTAAACTATTGTTCTACAAAATAGTTTAGTACATACAGTGTACAAAATTGTATTTATTGCATTTATATGCATACAGTATTTTACAAAAATGATTTTAAATTATTTTAATAATTCATATTAACATTATTTAATAACAAATGTAACATTAGCTGACATATATTAGACTATTTCGGGACAAGCATTATCATTTAGTATATTTTTAATACCACGAGAACAATTACTATTTTATTTCATATTGATGTCACCATTAATCTAGCAATCACTTGAAATTCCTCTTGTAAACACATGACGTCTTTATTTTATTTCAATTAATTTGTTTGATAAAACACCAAAAATCAATACGAATAGACGGATGTTTATAAAATCTTTTTACTTATCTACGTATAGACAGAGTCGGAGACCTATATGAGCCCCGGAGTGGAACTTGAGATAGACTACCCTATGGATATTACCGCTTCCATAAAAAAGCAATAAACAAAAAAAAACTATCACTAATTATAACTAGGCTGATAAAATTCGAAGCCCCTTAAGCTTGTTTGTCCTAGGATGTTCTCCTCCCTTGCCTCCAAATTAATCCGGACCTGCGTGTATGTTATTACTTAAAATGAAACTATACACTAAAGGAACGTATTAAATATCTAATTTTGATTTTTAATGGTTTCTTATCATTAGACTTATATTTAAATATTAACTTATATCATATTTTTTATTTATTCAAAATTAAAGGGAAATTTTTCTAATTTGTAGTGACCAATTTTAAAACCATTATTTTCATTCATTAAGTTATTTACAATGGAGTTTAGCTAGAATTTAAAAAACATACATTATTTAGAAACTTTATTGAAGAGGCGGAAAGAAGTTCTCAAATATAAAACCTTCCCAACTGATTTTATTAAAATATACGTCATTAAAAGTTACAAAATTTATTGTAACTATAGGATACATTCATAAAACATTTAAAGACAATTGACAATCTAAGATAACAATTTCATAAGTGAGAAGTGAATTATTGAATAATTAAAAATGTTTATATGTCTATAAAACGTTTCATTGTTTAATAATTTAAACTACACTTAATTTTTTTGCCGCCAAAAGTAATAAGTATTAACGCTATCTAGTTAAATAAGTATCCCATTATTCGTTTATCATATTATTTCGATTAAATATTATCAATAATAGAACACGGATTAAGTCTATGGTATATAAAAAAAATGGTTAGAGATAAAATTTTGTCAATTCAAATTAGTGATATTAAGATTACGTACCTATTATCAATATTAATATTTTTACAATTAATACTATTACTGACTTGTCCTTTGCATAACTATAGTGAGCAATTTTGACCTTGCTAAAACGATTTAGTTCTAGTTGATACATTATTATATATATACTTTCGTTAATAAATTTTATATTAATTTTTTTAAATAATTTTTAAGAAACCATGTCTCTTGTTTACAAAGCTGTTATTTCTGCTACTGATAAAGTCGTTCCAAAATCTTTAAGGCCTCTCTGGGAACACCCTGCCGGTAATCATTAATTTAATTTTTATTTCAATTAATACTTTCTACATTTTATAAAAATTGGTTGATTTATATTTTATTACAGGTCCAAAAACAGTTTTTTTTTGGGCTCCTGTATTTAAATGGGTAAGGTTATTTTATTTAAAAATTTTGTACTAGATGAAAATATATATATTTTTTTTAGGGTTTGGTTATTGCTGGTATTGGTGATATAACTCGACCTGCAGAAAAATTAAGTACATCACAGTGTGGTGCATTAGCTGCTACAGGAGTAATTTGGTCTCGTTACTCATTAGTTATAATACCTAAAAATTGGGGTTTGTTTAGTGTTAATGTTTTTGTTGGCGCTACCAATATTTACCAACTTGCAAGAGCATTTATGTGAGCATAAATCTACTTTATATAATAATTTTTCAATATCTTACCTTTATTTATACGTATTATCATATTTCTCATTATAGTAACATTTCATAAAAAAGTATTAATTTTATTTTAGTTATTTTTTCTTAAAGGCTACTACAATTACCTCTGCTTAGATTGTTACCTTAGAAAATTATTCATATGATTGTAAAACCAATTAAATTTATAAAAGTAAATTAAAGTGTGTAATATTAGAATATATTAAATGATAATTGTAAAAAGTAACTTCTTTGCTTGCTGCATATTTAAATATAAATCATAATTAAAAATATTTTATTATAATATCTAATAAAAAACATTCATCTTATAAATTAATATGTATTACTGTTTTCCTTGCTATAATATTTTTATCATCTAGTACCAAAATGAATTAAAAGTACACTTACTTCATTTATTTTTATTTTAACCCTTAAATTTTATACATTATAAAATATTTATCATTAGTTTAAAATTAAGTGCTCAGTTTTATACATTTATTTCCTAACTTATTTATGTTTAAAAATGTCACTTCTTTTAAACATTTGAGGATTATAAACCCAAATTGACCCAAAACTAACAATTTCCAATTAAACACAAAAAAAAAAAACCATAATATACTATTAATAAAGAATATACATAACCAGTATTTGAAGAAACTTCAAAATAATGAAACTTAACACATATTTATTGATTTTTCATAGGTATCAACAAGAACAAAAAGCATTACAAAATGAAAAAAAGTAATTACATAAAATTGTACAATTTATCCAAACTTAAGACTTATAAAATGTTATGGTATAATAGCAATAGTTATTTTTTTTGTTTCAATAAAAAGTATGTTGATTTTTTTTAATAATACATTTTAGTATATTGTAACCTGTTAATAAGAAAAAATTGTTAATTATACAACTGAAACACTGTTTGACTTTTTTCATCATTAAAATAAAAATAAGCTTAAAAAGTTCTTCCTCCACTAAAATTTCCACTAAATCTAGGACCACTGAATCTATTTCCTCCAAAACCTCTGTATCCTTGACCTAAATAATGAGTAATAAGTAATTAAACTTTATAAGATGATCAATCATGGATAAGATGCTCATTTTCTCAAAACTACTGAATATTTTCAATTTTTGTAGAGAAAAAATATTGTTTGAATAAAAAAACTCTACAATAATATGTAGTTAAATTATTCTTTTTTATCCCTTCAGAGATAGTAGTTGTCATTTCTGCCACTTAATATAACAAGAATAAATATCAAAGATAATTTATGGCACATTAGAATAAATTATTGTTGCCTATGGTATTATGAAAACTAATGATGGGCATTTTCGAATATTTTAAACTATCGAATAACTATTCAAATTGTTTTTAAACAACAGATTAATTTATTTTTTGGATTAACTATTTGAAAATATATTGTATAACTATCGAATATTTTTTGAATAACTATCAAATAGTTCGATAGTTACTATTCGATAATTCTATCACTAATGAAAACCATAATTAATCATTCTATACAGAGTGTTCAGTAAGTAAAGAAACAGGTAAATTATTACATACAATGAGAACAATGGAAACCGGTTTCCTTATTTACTGAACACCGATATAACTAATTTATAATATGATTATTCATATAAAACTTTTCAGAATATAAATATGTGTCAAATTATATAGACAAGATATCTAAAAATATCATTTTTTTCATGGCTGTTAATTGATACTACAATATTTAAAAGTATTACCTCTTCCAAAGTAACCTTGACTGAGATTACCTCTTGAAAATCTTTGACCACGAAAAGATCCTCTACCGCGGTTATTATTTGAATTATAAAACGTATTATCTTCATTAAATCTCATTCTTGTACTTGGAGGTCCTTCATTAAAATTATAATTAGCTGGTCTTTTATTAAAGGAACTTTCACTGAAAAAAAAATTAAGTTCGTTAATGAACAATATTAAATATATCAATGAATTTGAAACACCACTTTTTATCAAATGTTATGGGAGAAATATTATATCTTCCTGCATTGAAATTGCATAAATCTTTTAGTACATTCAATAGTTTTACATCAATGTCACTCATAGTCAATATGAATTCTGGATTTTCAGAAATTTTAATTATTAATCCTTCAATAGCAGGCCGCAATGCAACAATAGCTGATGCTGAACTAGGATCCATTTTCAAATTTATCCTATATTTAAAAAATAATTAGTTTCTTCTATTATAATTTATATTTATATATAATTATTTCTTCTAAAATAATTTATTTCTAAGAAACAAAGTTAATTTTTAACTAACCAATTGTCTAAACATATATAATTATTAGTATAATCAATTTTTCGTGCTCCAAATAACAGTAGATGAATTGGAGTTACCATAGTCATCTGTTTACAAGATACAGCTCTTGTACGGACCTACTTACAAAAATAGTTAATTAAAAATAAGCTGCATAAAATATAAACTTGATTTTATATAATTGATAATCATATTGTTTATGACTTTGTCCGAAAAATTATATTTTAGGAATATTACTTAATGGACAAAATACCTTTTAAAAATAAACTACTCAAATATTATCTTACTTTTTCAGTAAATACAAAAAAGGGGGATGGAAAAGATCCAGATGTGAAATTATTACAATTAACAGAAGATTTATGAATCAGGGCAGGTTTTCCTTCAGTTGTGTACACCTTAAAATTAATAAAATTTATCAAAAAAAATTATGCTAAACAATAACTAAATAATATTTACTTTTCTTTTTTCTTTATGATAACAAACATTAGGATAAAAAGCCATAGTTAAAATTGCAGAGATAACATCTAATAACGGTTCAATATATACACCACTTTTACCAAAATCAAAACGCAGTTTTTCAAAACATTCTTCAGGAAATCCGAGTTTAACAAATAGATCTTTAAGCTGAACCTAAAAATTTTGTAAAGTAAATTTTATTACAAATATTCAAAATTTACACTTGTTACATTACTTTGACATCTGCAGTAGTGACTAATGAAGGTTGAGATAGCATTTTTCTTTCACAATATTCAGTTGTATCAATATTACGTTGAAATAATGAATCCCATTGTTGGAAAGCATTAAGAACAGTAAGGTGGTCTGAACAACGGTTGCCAGATAGTGCCCTTTGAGCTGGAGTCATTCTATGATCTGTAATGATATAATATTTATTCAAGATTCTCTTTTTTTGTAAATATTTTTCAATAAACTTACCAAATTCAAAAATATCAGACATATTGGAGCAAATAGCAGCTATAATTGATAAGGAATCACCAAGCAATAGAGCATTCCCAAGTATCATCATACGCCCAAATTGTGGTTCAATAGGTAATTTTGCTAAAATAGAGCCAAGAGGAGTGAGTTCATCATTACTCCCTAAGCATTTCATTTCTAAAAATAATTTTTTTTAAAATTAAATTTCCTTCAACTCTCCATCATTTCAAAAATACTCATTATTACCTTCAAAAATATAATTAACAGTTATAACTATACAGACGAGTGTTCAGTAAGTATGGAAACAGATTTCTATTGTTTTCATTGTTTGTAACAATTGACCAGTTTCCTTACTTACTGAACACTCTGTATAATAAAGAAATAAAACTTTTGATATTCACGGTGTTCAAATAATAATAATTTGTGTCACTTTCTTTAGATTGGTTTTTTACATAAACCAAACCAAAGAAATAGTTTTACATTATCAAGTACAGTTAATCATTAAATTATCTACATGATATACTGTACTCAAGAAGAACAAAAATGTTATTTTTATTTCCATTATGAACACCACAAATACCACATTTTACCTTTAAGCATAACTTGAGCTTCAATAACCGCATCAATTGGAGGTGGTTCAATAGCTTTACTAAGAAATTGTCCAATGTCTCCAAGACGTAATAATTTTATAGATAAACCAATTTCATGCAAAGGAGTACGGAATATTTCTGGAGTAATATGATCATCTAATCTATCATATCGAGCCTTAAAAATTTAGCATGACAATTATAATATTGTTCATAAGCATTTAAAAAATTTAATTTTTGAAATATATATCAAATGATTAATAACAATTATATAGAAATTCAAATCTATGTCATAATTTATATATAAAAAAATGTATACGGAAATAATAAATTTTAATTCTGTAATGGAGCATCATAATTATCAATGAAAAAACTATGATTATAACAATTATTATTTTTAACTATCTAAAATTATCAATTTGGTGATTATAAACAATATTAGTACAAGATATTTGTACATTTTTTAAATAATAAAATTAAAAAGTTATTGGCAATTGTTATATTATTATGACACAATTTAAATAGAGTATAATTATTAAGGAAAACATGTGTATTTGTCAATTGTATTCATAAAAAAGTAATAGTCTAAGTTATCCTAAATTAAATAATATTGAATAACTTATTAAATTCTAATTCAATTATAACCATTTTATTCATTTATTTGTGTTTTAACTTAATTATAAATAATATTATTAACTACCAATTTATTAAAAACATTACCTTTGTGTACAAATTAAAACAATATCCAGGTTTAACTCGTCCAGCTCGACCTTTTCTTTGTTGCATATTTGTTTTTGACGCCCAAACAGTAGCATAATGAGTCATATTATTGTGCGTTGTGAACAATTTAATCTTTGCTTTTCCATAATTTATTACAAACACTACATCATTAATTGTAATGGATGTTTCAGCTATATTAGTTGATAAAATCACCTATAAAGCAATAAAATTAATTAAAATTCGAATTAAAGTATTAAGGTGATATATAAAATTTTAAGTAAATGATAATATGTTTGATCATAAGAGCTTTGAATAAAAGAAAGTTTTTAGTAACCATATATACCTTACGCACACCAGAAGGAACTGGTGCAAAAACTCTACGCTGATCTGCACATGGTATTTGTGAGTGAAGAGGTAAAATACAAAATTTTCCAGATCCTAAAAAAAAAACATCAATAATTTATTTTTAAAAATATATATTTATACTGTAACTAAAAAATCATGTAAAATAAATTTTGAGGATCCCATAAAAGAATACAACAACTCTACAATTTAAAAAAAACTTAATTTTTTGATCTCATAGTATACATATATATACAAGGTTATTATTAAGCCTAATATTACTAGTAAATAACTAATGAATATCTCATGTCTTTTATGACTCTTGATCATATTAATAATCGGTTGAACATTTATTACTTTATCTTATAATTTACCAGTGAAAATTAAAATTTTAATTTATTTCTATGATTAATTTTTATATTTTAAAATAAGTGAAGAGTGAATGTGTCAAACGTTCTATGTGCCAAAAAAGTGAAAAATTGTTTTATTTCTGATTTATGTTCTATGTACCAAAGGCCACAATCTTGTATGTGTTTCAAATGTCAATTAAATTTTTTACTTGTACAAAATTGCATTCATAGATGGTGTTCATTATGTGAGACATGCCCATGTTACCATCGTTTTTTGTGTTTTCTGAACAAATATGTTTTTGGCATATAGAACGTTTGACACATTCACTCTTCAAGTAATTTAGGGTTTTCATTACATGAAAATATGATTTAAAAGTTAATTTTGAATAATTATTCTTAGTACTTATTTTGCACATTAAATATGTCTGGAGAGAATACAGATTCTGATGGATTCTGGATTTCATCACAGAGAGATGATAAATATATCAAATTAAAAGGAACAATATTACATACACTCTGCATGTATGACTTTTGAAAAATTAATTAAAGATAAAAATTTAAATGTTTACAGAAATCAAAATTTTTCATTTTTTGAAAAGTTAATAATTTTTTTTTATATTTTATGAGTTTTATTACTAGTCATATAAGGCTGAATAATCCTAAATAAAAAATAAATAATCATTTCATACCAAAAAATGGTTTTTGCGATAAATATTTATTTAACGCAAATATTAAATTCCATCCTGGCAAAAATATTAAAACTGCACCTGGTGTATTCATTTCATTTTCAATATACATTAATAATTGCTAAAACAAAAAAAATATAATGAATTTTATTTATTTTTATACATATTATTATTAAAACTATACTTCAATTATGTCAAAATCGAGATCCTTTTCATTCAACATTGCAACTTTAGTTCTAACTTCCGTAGAATAAGTATCTTGGACGAGTAAATTACAATTTTCTTCTTGTTCTTGCCCAGCTATAATACCTTCTTCGTCTTTATCTTTTGTTTTATGTTTTCTATTATCAGGTATTGGCTGATAATTTAAAACTTCTACTATATCTTCTAAGAAATATTCTTAAAAAAAAATCAATGCCTACATTTAAGTAATGTGAACAAAATAAAATATAATTTTTAATTATTGTCAACTAATAATGAAAGCCAAGTCCAGTAGACTAATACATTTAAATTTTCTGTGTAAATAACATATATTTTTTATTGCTAACTTATCATTTGGCAGATCCATATTTAAGTAGTAGCATAGGTGTGCAAATGCTGCCAGTGGCATTATTTTAGGGAAAGAAAAAATTATAATGTTAACATTTATCAGAAACTTATATCTCTAATAAATCATAAAGGATAAACAGCATAATAATATTCTCATAGAAAAAAAAATAAACACCTTAAACAAAATGAAGTTTATAAAAATTATAATTACACAATTTTTTTTTTTTAGTTAACTTATATATTATACATTGCATTATGTATAAAACTGTTTTAAATGGTCTTATGCCCATTGTGCTTATGTTTTGAATAATAAATAAATAAACAAGATTTGTATGTTTATATTCTATATCTACTGTGCATTAAATGTTATAAACTATATTTATATATAATTCATACAAATTATTTTTTAACTTAGTTGATACTTGTTTAAAATATAGAAAAAAAAATTAACTACACTCACAGAGCTTTTATTTTTATAAAGTTGAGGATGGGTAGGTAGCATGAGCGAAAAAATTTGTATGTAATTTAAGGGAAAACTAAAAAAATTCAACGTTTTGGATAATTTCAAAAAAAAGTATTTACTTCACTCGCACTAAATTAGCAAAAAAACATGTTATCAAATATATAAGGTATGGTAAAAAAAGTCTTCTATTTTTCATAATAAGAATAAAGTAACCCTAAGCTGCCTCCCATTTTTGCTAATATTGGAGTAAAAAATTTTATGTTATCTCTAATGGCTGTTAGTTGGGGAAAACAGATATACCATTTGCATTTATTTATTGAATATTTTGCATAATTGAAGTTATGTCAATTACAATAAATAATTTGCCACCCAATGAAAAGACTTAGAAACTCTAAATCTATTAACACACCAATCTAACAAACATCAACGAAAAAATTACTACATAGGCATTTATTTTTTATTAAATAGAGACAATTATAAGCATTTACTGACTTCACCCAGTACTTGTATTGTAAACATATTTTTACTAAAGATTTTTCGGGTACCCAGTTTTTTAAATAAAAGCTAGGTAATCAGCCTAGCTTCTTGAGACTCTAGCTTTATCTAGTACTAGGTGTGTACATAGTTTTACTACTCAAAACATCATTAAATTTGATATATATTTTATAAACAGGAATAAAACTTGTTTAAAGGTAGAAACAAAATTTTTAAATATTCATTCAAGTTTAATACTATAAACAAATTCTTTAGAAAAATTGAATTTAAAATAAACATACCTTTAACGGGAAAACATCGTCCTTCTACATTAATAACAGGACAATTATTAAAATATTGAGTAAACATATTTGTATTTATAGTTGCAGACATAAATATAACTCTTAAATCAGGATAATTAAAAACCATATCTTTCAGTACAACCATAAGAAAATCACTATTCACGTCGCGTTCATGTATTTCATCAACAATTATATGTGAAATACCACGCATTCCAGCTTCAAGTTTTCTCAGTAATACTCCTAATAGAGTATATAACTCACATTATTATTACATTAATACATTTATGTATAAATCATACCAACTGTACAAAATAAAATTGCACCATAAAGTCTAGGAAATATGCTATCAAATCGAACACTATAACCAACACTTTGTCCAACTTCTTCAATTCTTTCAGAAGCTACTCGATCAGCTACAGAGATTGCTGAAATTTTTCTAGGTTGAGTGCATATGATATTACAATGTGCACCTTGACCATTTGTAATAAATTCATCAAGAATAAATTGACATACCTAAAAATATAATATTATTACATCATTATTCTAAAATTAAATATAATTAATATTTTTACACAGAATACCCACTTGTGTAGTTTTACCACATCCTGTGCTACCTTGTATAATAACAATAGAGTTATTTCTTATAGTACTTAAAATCTCATCTTTCAAAGCATATACAGGTAATTGGCTGCGTTCATCTATGTTTTCTTTTAAACCACAAGTAGAATTAATTTTTTCAAGGTAATCTCTTGACATTTCTTCACTGAGTTGTTCTAAAGTAGCCTAAATTACATTTTATTAATCATCATAAACTTAAAAACCAAACTAAAAGGAAAATTACATTAGCTATAGTTCCTTCATCAATATTAATTGCAAGCCAAGGATTCCAATTTGGCTGAGGAGGAGACCATGGAATTACACCACTAGTCCAAATGTTCTTTTTTGTTTCTTGAAAATCAACAAGAACCTGATTGCTTAAAAGAGAAATAGGTTCTGAAGATTGAGCATCATTGTTCTAAAAATATAGAAAATTTATATAGAAGTAATAATTTAATATTTTAAAATATTTATTTCTTACAGTATGAACTTTAACTGGATCAATATTTAATTCTTTTAATATATTTTGTACATTTTGTAAAATTTCTGGATTTACATTAACTTCATATGGCTCAACAAATTGACCAGCAGTTTTTTTAACAGTACCTGTATATGCCTCTATAACACCAAGATGATATAATTGACGAACTAAGGATAGTGCACAACTTTTGGATGCTGACTGCTTATTAGAACCACTTTCACGTGCTGTTACATCTATAAAATAATATTTTATTTATTTATAGTATAAATTTGTGATTAATAATAACAATTTAATTTTTATAGTAAAAATTGAGTCATAAATAAAATTTTAAAATTCAAATAAAAAATGTAAATTGTTATTCCTATTATTAAATGAGCATGGATTTGTCTATTATTTGTGGTAAAAAAGAAAAATTAGAGCACAATAAAATCACGCTTAATTTAAAATAGTACCAATAGTAACTTAAACTAAATATATTATAAAATGGCATAACAATGACTATTTGAACTTATGCACGAGAGTATATTTAGTTTTTTTCTTAATTTACACAATAAAAAGTGAGTCACCATTAAGCGACTCATTTTTCAGAAAAACTAAATGTGAGTTAAGATACATATACAAGATTTTCAATAAGTAAGGACTCAGGTCAAATGTTATAAACAATAGGAACAAGATATAATTTCATTATTATAATAAATAATTTGAAAGTTGTCATTAACAATTGAACGTTTTTCATGAAATATTTGTATGACATGTTATTTTTTTATAACTGATTTCAATATTGATTTGAATTAATGATTGCAAAAATTTTATAAATCACTTTTTATAATTTGTTTTTTAAGACAAATTATAGGTATTTAGATAAATTTAATATTATAACAATAATATCAAAAATAATATAATATTTTATGTTTTCACAGTCCATTAAGAGACATAGCTGTTTCCCCAAAAAAAGATGTTTCTTAACCATTATTAATCTGGAACAAATGATTAATCAGTTGCAGAAAAAAGAACTCGTGATTGTTTCCCAAACATTAGACGGTATTTATTAGGTACTTCTACATCACTGACTCTACTACACAATCCCTCTTATTAATTTAACATATTTAAAATGCTTTAACATGACACCATATACCCAGAAAAATTTACATGCTTCATTATAATATATTAACTTATTTACAAATATTGCCCACAGTAATTAAAAACAAAATAACATACTTCTTCTTAGTTTAGCAACAAATATTGACATTTCAGCAACAAAGCTTCTGGAAAATATAAAAACCAAAATACTTTAATCATTAAACTGAAAAAAGTGTGAAAGCAAAACACTTCAAAATTTGTAATACTAACTTTCCCATAAAACTATACTTATAATCTGTTTGTTTCAGTTTATTTGCTTGTATAAATTGATTTAACCGAGATTTAGCATTATCAATTGTCCAATTACCATGTATAGAAGCATTAACATCCAAATTTTCAGCCTATATGAACAAAAATAAATTTTTAAAATTAGACTCCAATATAGATAATAGTTTGAGTGATTAGCAACACTATCATAAATAGTTCCAATGCAATTGTTCATAAAAAAAGCTGGAAAAAAATAAACATTTTTATACATTTACTTAGAAAAGACATGCCGTCAGGATATTTTTCTTTTAATAAGCTTAAATCACATTTTGAAACTTTAATTTAATATAGTTTTAAAAGGTGAAGATGTTTTAAAATATTATTGAAATTGGAAAAATAAAAAAATTTTCTTAATTTTGGCAGCCAATTTTATGTAATAAAATATTGAAGAACATAGAAGTCATTAGACAATATATTTTTAATCTTATTGTGCACCATAAAATTTTACTGTATATTATACTTTTATATTATGCTCAAATTTTTAATAAACAGACAAAAAAACACGCCATGAAAAAAAAAAAAACTTTCTCAACTTTGGATCGAAACTAATACTAAGTTAAAATACCATTTAAGTAAAGCAAAGTAGATTAAATCTAAATAAATGAGATAATTAAAAGTACATCTATATTTTTATTTTTAAATATCAGTAACCAATTTAGCTTTACATTTAAATAATAGAATATTTCAATTAAAATAAATAACTATTGAATATTTTAAAAAAATATTAAATTCACAATTGTCCCTTATACTTAAAGTAATACCTAGTTTAACCTAATAAATTAATTTAACCCTTTTTCTGTAATATTTAAATTACATAAATATATTACTTCTTCAACTTTTTGGCCTTGATTTGCTAAAAAATCTTTAAATTGAAAATCTTCTTTTCCAATTGGTCTATAAGCTTCTCCTAATGTATTAGGAGTTTGCCCATACTGATAAACTGATCTTTCTGGTGGGTTAGTTAATAATTGTTGAGATGAATTCATAACATTGTTGCCTGATGACACATTATTCATTATATTCTAATAAAAAAAATGTATATTATTAAAACTATTAATTGATTAAATAAGATTTGCTTCTTAACTAAAAATAACATTCTAAATCAAACAAAACTAATCTAAAACTAAAGATTTAGTACTACAATTTTAGTATGAAGGATAAATGATTATAGTGTTCTAGTATCTACCAACATCTTTAAAATACTATGACAATTGTCATACATAATGTATGATATCGGCGCCATTTACAAATGTAAAGTTTGGTAAAATAAACTGTTTAAAATATAATAACAACATACATATTTTACTATATTGACTATTGTAATTTACTTTTAGATTCTTTTGATAGTAATTAATTTATATTTCAGTATTATTTATGTGAGTAATTCTTTAAATTTTAAGGAATCTTCTTATTGTGGGTTCTTGGGAATATTTTGCAATTTTTGTTATATATTTGTTTATACTTGAGTTTTAATCAACTTTAATTGAATTGAATTTATTATTATTAAATAAATAAATATTTATAAATTAAAAGATAATAAAAACTTAATTATTCATTCACTAAATATACTTATATAATTAACTGACATTTGGAAGAGAATCGGCACTGACAGCACCTTGACGTATTAAAAACAAGAGAAAATCTTTTGATGCATTTGATTGAGCATCTTTTTTATTAGTTGAATTTCCAATACCAACATAATTGTAAGTCGATACTGATAGCTCACACATAAAACGTTGACCAAATTTATTTCCTGTAATGAAAATAAATTATTAACTATAAAGGACATAGAACATAAAATTAAAAGTTCATTCATATTGCATAGTATAATGCATCTTGTATATTTTAGAACTCTATCATACCAGTTTGTTTGATTTCAAAGTTTGGTTCCAATCCATTTTTTGCACACCATTCATGCAAAAATGCTTTTGGATTTGCCATTTTATTAAAATTTATATTATACTTCAACTAACTATTTTAAAACCGAATTACATAATATCGATATCTAAGGAAATGTTGTAATGTTTCAATTTAACTAAAAGCGACCGGCAAAAATATGTAGACGCTTCTTGAAGATCAAAAAATTGATTAAATGAGCTTATCAATTACAATAATTGATAAAATATACATTATCAAGCTTGTTGTAGTACAATTATTATAACACAGGTGGTAACACTTAGTATTATTTACCATAATTACATGATTGAAAATGAATGGACTGACACAGTGTTGCTAGATATAGCATATGAATAGTTCTACACGTAGTGCTTTAAAGCAAAAAAATTCGTTGCATAAATATTTAATTGATATCACTTTTTAAATTAAATCATCTTAAATTGATTACTTAATTATAAGTTAATTAATAATAAGTTATTTATTTGTATGTTTGAAGAAATAAGATACTTATAAAATCGCATTTTTACTTCTTCATTGATTACTATAATCTCTTTTTATTGTTCAGCTTAAGTTGAAAATTATCTAAAACTAACTTTTATTTATTATTAAGCTTTAAATTAGTTTTTATTGTGTTTATTAATAATTTTAATTGACAATTTGTAATTTTAAATTGATGAAAACTTATACTGTATATAATTAAAATTGATTAACTACTACATCAATATAAAAGTATTCAGTTCTATTTGTTTTTTATATAATATATTTGTTATATATATTTTTTAATAGTAGGATATCTTCTTAAGATCTTTCATAACTTATGAAAGACCAAAAATGCTATCTATGGTTTTAGGTAATACTTAGATAATTCCTATCTATAACCATGTCGCGATTTTCATTAATATGTTATGTTGTTTGTATAATTTCACTTAACAACAATAGTCTAACATTGTAATAATATTTCTTTTACGAATATTTTGCAACAACAATCTTCACGAATTTTTATTATTTAAGTTTTCTCTATATGAACATTTTCTATTAATAGCTGTACTGAAAATAAATTTTTCTTAAGGTAAATTACACATTTTTTTAGCTTACTTAAAAGTTTCTAAAATTGGGTTTGAATTATTGAGGACTTAAACCTTGGTTTTTTTTGGAGCGTGAAATAACATACTAACCTATTCAAAAACTATATTATTAAACTTAATAAACGACGGGACGATCGCACCACCTACTAAAATTAATTCTATTAAATTCTTAATTCTAAATTTTTATTAAAAATGCAAATTTTTAAATAGTAAAATAGTTATATTACATTTGTCGTGTGCGAACATTGATATTGTTTCCCTCAGTATATGCGGATAGTATATACACACACGAGTAGTGTTTGGACGACCGGCAGTGTCGTCCGAATAACATTTTGAAACATATATTATAAGCGACGCGCCCAATCGTATGCGACCGGGTACGGTTCAGCTGCCATCTTATGTACGGCTTTTGGACAAACAGAAGCGTCGTCCATACTATAAAATATTAGTATATTACTATGTGGGGTAATTTATTTTTAGAATTAACTTCGCGTATGCTCGTCGTTAGAGGTTACTACAATAGTATAATCGCTATTATTATTATTTTCATTTCTATTTTCTACTGCGACCTGCGCTATAAAAATATTGTTTTTAATCCCAATTCATAAAATAATAACATAAATTTGTTATTTTTTAATTATATAATCATAAATTCGTACACATGCTATAATATACTATAACAATTTTATGAATAAAATATTAAACTTTAAAATAATAATATGTCTACTGTGTTTCATTTCATTATATTTAATTTGACAATTTTTTATACCTATGACTAGCGGTATTATACTTAAAATCGTATCTCCACCACTATCACCCACGAGACGCCACTGAAGAACCTATTATCTGAAGTCACCCGTAAAAAAAAGTATCTAACTCATTCATTAAATGTTTGATTTAGATTAACAATTTAATACATTACATTACGTTATATTTATTCAAATCAAACTTTAAAGTTTTGAAATCGTGGGAGTGTCAAGTCAAAGCTGCAACATTATTTATTTTGTATTTTGTATAGCATTTAATTCAAGTTTAAAGTGATTTTTTAGAAATCGTTTTAGTCCATTTATACACAGAATTTATTGCTAGAGGTGCGCAGTGGCATAACTAGGAAATGCATTCCTACCTAAAATTGAAACATTACTACATGTCATAGTCACTGTATTTATTTCGATTATAAATATTTTTAATCGTATTTTTACCTAATGTACTTTAATTTTAAAATAGTTTCAAAGCTGAATATTATACAATTATTGTAAAATATTCAGTATTCCTCTACAAATTTCCATATAAATTGAGAGGTCAATTTATATGAAACATAAAATTTATATTTCATTATCTAAAAAAATATTAAATATTTTTTTAGATTTTTTAAATTTATCATTAATTAGTAAAACTAAATAATCTTGCTAATATCGCCCTTAACGTACTAATATAAACAGTAAGAATACGTAAAAATGGTTCGTCTGTAACACTATCTAAACTACATTTGTTGTGTTTGTTAATATTAATATTAACCTCCCCTTTTTTTATCAAATCATGTTCTGTGACATGTTGAAATAATTTTATGGTGTTTAAAAAGTTTTTTTAACTTTTACTGAGAATGTTTATTTTGTTTAAAATGTCTTTTACTAATACCGAATACACTAAAACATACATTTATTCTACTTATAAGTAAGTTATTTTACATAACTAAGTATTTTTACAAATAGATATTCTTTATTTTAAATAATTATCAGAAAAAACAAGAATGGCCGACCCCAAGTAGTTGGGATAAAGGAGAGGAAAAAGAAGATGAGAAAAAACAAGTTTAAAAAAAAATGATTAATAAAACCAAACGATTCATTCCTGCGATTATTATTATAAAAAGTATTACTTTTAACTAAAACGTTAATAAAGTAAAGTAATTAGGTGGGTTTTTCTATTTTTCAACTTTAAAAACCTATAAAAATTAAAAATAAGTCATATTAAGTAATTCCCTGTAAAATTAAAAATATGTAACACGAAATGTAAGTAGGGGTCATTTTGTGTACTTTTAGAGGAAACAAGATCATTTTTTGGAAAAAACTAAGTGACCCTTCTATTTGTTTGAGAATTTTAGGAGGAATACTGGATTGTAATTTATATTTATTCATAGGGCCCTCATAAATAAATTGGGATTATTAAAAAAAAACAGTTTTGGAGGTAAAGAATTAAAAATGTAATACTTTTGATATAATTTTAATTTGAAATTACATTAGCCACAAATGATCAATTTTTATTATACGTTAGTTAAACTCGCTGATTAGGTGGACCCAACTGTATACGCCTCCGATTACAAATAAAACAGACAAAAATACTAATAATATTAGATGTGTTAACAAAAAATGAAATACGTTTACAAATATATATTCGTGTTGGAACATCTGAGAGAATAATTTATACGCCATAGGGCGTTTAGATTCAAAATAGTATAATACGTTTGAGTCCTATATTATTTTCCTTAGGGCTTCTATAACGATCTGTTCTTGTTAGTTGTTATAATCTCATTTTACTAATCCTACGACATAACGCAAAACAATCAGTTGTAAAGTTTGAACAAGTATCGCCCTTAATAATAAGTATGTTTAGATTATTTATAATTTACATTAAGCAAACAATCTAAAATAATGTTACTATAAATAAATGTTTGTGTTAAATACTGCTTGATTTACCCAGTAATTCAGCATTTATAATATATTGTTTAATTAATATCTAAATTTTAAAATAAACATTGTACTTTGGGTCAATATATCAAATAGTAATTAACAAGAATATTCTGAATAATATTTGGATGTATTTTTATTGGTTCCGAAAACCTAGACACTCATTTAAATTAACATGTTTATTGTAGTTATAATTAAAAAAAAATTTTTTAAGGCTGATATTTCTCAAAATCTTAAAATTTAACCCTAAAAATGGATATTTTTATAATAATACCAATTTAATTATTGCAAACCATAAATCTATACGGTAAAACACATTTCATAAATCAAATAGTTCAAAGAGTTAGTGTGAGTGTTATGCTTGTTACTTTAATTTGAATTCAGTTACACTGTTAAGATTTTCAATTACATAGTAATATAGAAAAATATGAATAAATTAAGCTTCTCCATTACAATCATCAATTACATTATTACACAGTAAAAACTCTTAAAACTACGGATTGGCAAAATTATAAAACATCTACAAGTTATAAAAAATCATAAGTATTAATTGGAAGAAAATTTTGTATCCTAATGTGTTAATATATTTTCGTGTCAAAATTATGAGTTAATTTATTTATAATAATTGTTATTTAATATTTTACCTAATAATATACAAAGGAACTATTGAGCAATTACACGATTGAATACTTAACAAATTACCAATTCTTTTGTAATGTAATAGTAAGTATCATCTGATGCCCTTTGAAATATTTGTAATCGTTATTTCGTATATAATCATACACTTATTCATTTTTATTGTAAATTGAGATCTAATTTTGCCCATAAATATAATTATGCTATGTAAAATTTTACTTATTATTGTTTTGTATTTATATTAATTGGTTAATACGAGTTTCGACAATATTAATTTATTCAATTAAGAAACGATATCTATTTCTCAAGCTTAGTATTTTAACTTGGCGTAGTTAGTCAATAATGACTTGAAATCAACCATTTCAAAAATATTTCAAATAAATTTACTTATATTTACCTAAAAAAAAAATAGAATTGTTCCCTATAATATACTAATTTTTCCATATTTGTATACAAAAACAAATGTATTCCTTAGAACTTTAAGCTGAAGTCAAACAATTGTTTTGTTGTCAAAGATTAACAATATTATTTGAACGAACTTTTAAACAATGAAAAATCTTGTGAAAAGGTTTTCTTCACATAGTTTTTATTTTATTATTAAGGAAATAATTTACAAATAATTTACAAGCTAAAATTTACTTAGTCTGAAGCCTTATTTTCAAAATTTATTGTACTTAATCGACTCGGGTAAGTAAAATCATAATAATATACTTTTTGAAATGTAAAAAAACCCAACCAATATATTAACTCAAAAAGTTTAAAATTATTATAGAACGTTTATATGAGATTTTCGACAATGCATCTAAATATTTTAAATTATTTTTTCAAAATCATCATTCGTAGAATAATTACTCCTAAAGTAGCGGTTTACCAAGAAAGAAATCACATTGTCAAATTTTAATTAAATAGGAGGTGATAGTCTAATGACTAAATATTTAAAAAATTAATTAAAATAACTTTTTTATACATTTAACAAACATGTAATATCAAAATTTATTACAATTTTTTTTTTTAATTTTTTTAATTTTTGTGTATTTCAGAAGCTCAGAATAATTCTTTGACTAATTTTTATTATTGCTGTATCAAATTTTTCGTTCTGAGGAGTGAAAAAATAATTTATAACTACCTCTCTCTATGTATAAAATACTATAATGATAACAAGGAACATAATTTATTCAAATTTATAGCTTTGTGTGTTTAAAAGTGAATGCTATTCTAAATGGAAATAAAAAGCTTCTGATTTATCATCAATAACTTGTTCTTTGGAATCTGCCGGTCACTCTGTAGAATAAAATTGTGAACTTGCTGTTGTTAATATTCTAATTTATTAAACGAGATGTCAACCTGAAAACGAGAGTTTAATCTTTAACTACTGTCGTATGGTTGTTATGTTTCAAATCTATATCAGGTGACGGAGAATCGCTAAGAGGAAATTTGTGCATCTAAGCGATTACATTATAAAAATAAAAACAATAATATTATACGCTAATATAGTAACTGTGTTTATTGAAGTACATGCATATATTGGGAATCCCTGTGCGCGTTAAGAGTGTGTGTGTGTAAGTTTGTATACTGCGTTGTATGTGTGTGCGCCGGTACGATGCGGTGCGCGTTAAACAACGGATAGTGCGGGGACATGCGGGGGAGGTTATCCGCGTGTCGATTGGTCGACTCCCTGCTCTGCCCCGTGTGGTATGCGGCCGACCGGACGAGTCGACAAGTCCGTCGCGCGTGTTGCTGTCGCTGTCCGTAGTGAACCGTCCGGCTTGAACCAACGCAGTCAGTGTTCGATCGCTATCAACCGCTGCCTGAACACATTATTTCGCACACGTACCACGACGCATCATAACCGCGTCTACAATAAAAGCCGATAAGTGCGCGCTGACAAGTGACACCACGTTATTGTAAATCAGGCGGATAATCGTATTCGATAGCTGATCTGTAGTTTCGCCCGCGTCAAGTTCGGTCGTTAAAAAAAATCGTCGTAATCAATTTTTTTTTTTTTATAAATAGTTTTTAATTCATATTGCATCCAAGTGAATCTAGTGATGGTGCGCTATCGGTGGGTTATAGTAAAAAGCTGCGTTTCGACGGCGCCGGCTACCGTATGCCAGCCGCCACGATAGGCGGTGGCAGCGGTGCCCCGACGACATGAGCCGGTAGTCTCGTCAGACGATATCAATAGAGAATTTTTCGTGTAATCACTACCCGACGACCAGACGGTGATCGCCACTCTAACCGCCGAGGCGATGCCGCACGCGAGCGAAGATGGAGTCGCGGCCGCCGGTGAGGACGCGTGCAGCTCGGACGAGCTGATCGTGTTCAAGGACGAAGACGGCGGCGAAGATGTGGTCAAACGATCCTCGGACAAAGTGACCGAGGAGAAGTCCGACTTGATCGACTTATCGGAGTCTGAGGTAACAACAGTTTGGTAGTGATTATATGTATTGAGTTTTGACGGCGACGTAGTCGTTACCGATTTTTCCGTTATGGTATTTTGATATTTTTTCGGTGGTGTTAATTGGGAAAAGTCGGTCCGTGCATCGAGTACAGATTATTATTATTTATATTTTGTCCGCGCCGAGTCCAATTATAATCCGACGAGGGGTTGTTTAACGTTGAACAGGTGAAAACAGGTGTGTGTGTAACACCATTGTTAGACCCCTCGCACCTCCGCCGGATCCGCTCGAACCCGTGATTATAATAATGGCCCTGCTCCGTTGAATACACACACATACGCGTTAACTAGGCGTAAAAAAAATAATTCATATTCGATCATTGCTCTCATCGTTCATCTCGCTCTCGCCGCCGATTGTTCGTCTTGCTATCTCCACAGACGACCGTCGGTTGTTTATTTTTCCACGCGAGTCGTAATATTTTGCGCGCCAGATTGAGATACTGTTTTTAATTATCCGGTTAAACAGTAGAACGAGATGAGTGTCGATCGGATACGAGTATCGCATTACCCATCGGCCACGGCGCTATAATGAATTTAATTAACAGCGTGTATGGAATTGTGCGAGTGATAGTTGCACGCTAACGCCTAGACGCGGTCAGTCGATCCATTAAAACAGTAATAATACCATAAATACTTAATCGGATGACAAGTAAACGACCGACCGGCAAGGTCGTTTATTAAAAGAAATACATCGTAAATTAGTGTTATTATGAGCTTCCTTAATAACTGGCCACTTGTGCGGCACGCGCATTGACTTACACGCATAACCATTTTACTCGACAAATTCATCACTACGAAAATTCCAACTTGCCGCCGATTACTAATTCCGTTTTTAGGTTCCTCTGTACGGCCATTACGGCTGAGTAAATAAACGATTCGGAGCGGTTGGTATTCTGATAAGCTCGTGGTCGTTTTCTGTAGTTTACGACTCGAGTGTCCAGAAGAGCGTACGTCCCGTGGGCGGCATGTTTTGTAATAAAATAAATAATTGTAATCGAAATCCATACTAGTGCGATTCTCGGTTTTGGAAACGCGATACCCCCCGGGGAACGTACAACGCAACTCGTCCAAATGTATTTACAATCGCGAGTTGGATTTGAGGTAACAACAATGACGGTAATAATAATGTTACAGAGGTGTGTGTGCGTGATCTTTCCTTGTTCATTATATTGATCCCTGTAGGTTATCGGGGTACTAAAATTGTAAATAAGTATTTTTTCTTCTCGGAAATTTCGATTTGCTTTTGTGTCGCGGTCTTGTATTTATCAAACCCCCCTCCCTTCCCCCGATTATTCCTTAACGACAATAGTAAACACTGCGCGGATAATAAAACGGCGAATAGCACACCTTCTGGATTGAGAGATCCGCGGCCCTGTTTAATAATATTTTGTGCGGCTTTACAAAAAAAGGGACGGGAACAGAAGAATTGAAGGTATTGAACTGAACGCACGAACACTGACAAAGAATATCGAGGAAATAACATCAACCCTACACCCGCCCGTTTGTTATGTGTTGGACGAACCTGTTCCAGTTGTGTGCATTGGGATTACGACGGTAAACGGACTCTGCGGGTATTGTGCATCTTCTCCTTCCCATTGCCATCGCCACAACGTCGCTATAGAATTGCTACAAGTTATCATTGTGGACGATCGTCGCCTGCGTTTTAGGAATTGCACCACCCACACCAACGGGGACAGACGCCTAAGAAATTTTTTCTCGGAAAACAAAAACCAACAAGGGCCACCGTAAATCGGTTATCGCGCATAAAATAACATAATGTTGTTGGAACAACAATAATAATAATAATGGAAGCTACCGGTAATTGTGGCGGCGTCGATCGTGGAAGGGGATTACGTGTGACTCGTTAAGGTCTTTTTAAACACGTTCTAACAATAACCGGTACCATTAGAGGGACGGTGGTCGCTAATAGAGAGCATTCGATGATTGATAGTAATCATGAGGACCATACAACTAAATGATACTCAAAGATGATGATTGGCACTGGCTCTGAGGATTTAATTGACTCTCCGGTGGCAGCGACCACGTCGTAATTAACCTTGGTCCAATTGCTTCATTCCATGAAAACGGATCGACTTAACAAAAAGTAGGGATTCGTGTAGAAGATTCCATTTTAGTAAAATTCCATTACTGGATCGGAAATGGATTGGACTTGCATTAGTTGATGGATATTGCTCTTTATTTTTTTTTCAAACAAACAACTTTTTCTTTGTCATGATAATTGTCTCTTGATACTCGTAATTCCCCGACCATTTTGTAATATTACTTAATACATTGGCGACGTAATACGAAATGGGGTGGGTGGTGTACTTCGACAACCCGGTTCCCTGTTGGAATCCGTAATGGGCGCCAACTCAGCAGGAAGGGAAAATGAGCATATTTTTCATATTGTTTTGTTCAACTCGGAGTATATGAAGAATAAATCATTTTGAACGTTCTCAGCAAATGTGTTATTTATAATCGAGTACCTCCCTTTAACCCTATTCTTTATTAATGTCACCTGTCTAAAACATTATTTTCATTTTGCAGAAAGTCAATTCGAATCATCGGTGTTCTCCTGTGAAAACAAGCAGTTCTACGCCTGATCTCAACCGAAGTGAGTATATGTTTGATTACATTAATTGCAGCATTGATTATCGTGAACCGAAAGATAAACAAACTTTGTTGTTAAAACACACATAACTAACACAACGGTAATTAGGAGTCCATGCGGCCGCTGAGCCAGTCGTGGCCTGTAATTAGATGTACCGGGACAGCAGCCGCGAGCGACTGGAAGACGGCGGGAACCGGCACTTTAATTTCTACGGCCCACTCGTTAGTCGTTATAATATTGGCGCGCGCTCGTATGCAGTCTGTCCGGATAACCGGTGTAAATTTACATTATTTTCATATATTGTTAAAAACCATGCGTAATTTCTATGGCGTTGGCTAAACATTTAACTAACGAGACCGGTGAGCGTGTACAACAAACAATGTGTTTAATAAACAAAGCGATTAATGCGAAATAGAGAACTCGGGAACCTTTTTATAGTTGTAAGAAATTTTATTGGGTAAAATAATAAAACTGTTTTCGACTAGAGAGAAGGAACTGAAAGACAAAGTGTAATACCACCACCACGTGGGTTCTTGGTAGATGCTGCGCGTATGTTTATTTAATATAATTTCTACTGGTGATAAAAAAAAAAAAAATCCCAAATCCTTCTTGCACAGGTACATGCCATCTACGTCGAACATGTGTTGAACACACTCGACGGGTGGCGGTTCTCGGAATCTGACCGAAAGAATGTCATTCTGGGTGGCGAAGGCGGTATAGTAGTGGTGGTGGTAGTGATGGTGGCTGTGCCTGTACCCGTACGCGTACCCCGACGAGTAAGGCGAACAACGGACGCGAAAAATATAAAAATCTCTTTTTCTTTCTCATTTGTACTCTACATAAATATGACCTTGAACGTTATTGTCCATCGAATAACGCATAATGACAGAAGAGCTAATAATAATAAAGAGGTGGTCGAACTGAGCGCATTATAATGAACCGTCGGTGTGTAGGAGAGAGCGAGATGAAAGACGCTGTGCCTGTAATAATTCTTTTCTGTGAGTATGTGTACGCATGTACATACAATATGTGTATGTATAATGTATACACCGGTCTGTACGTATAAACAACAACGCGCTAGTCTACTTAGGCAGTGCTGCGTGCGGTGTCGGGGCGGGGTCCCACAAGGCTTCTTAAACGAGGTTCGTTTTGTTTTTTGACACCGGACCCCCTCCCGCCAACGTCACAGCAGCAGCAATAGGTTTTACGCTTTCTTTGCAGCCCCTCCGCGTCCGTCACCCCGCGTGTCGACTTCTCGACGGTGTGACGATGGGATCTTCGTGTTCACCATAGCCGGTGCGGTGGTGGTGCTCACCGGCTATCTCAAGCAGTGCTCGTTAACCAAAACTATACACGACTACTGCATACACGTACACTACTAACGCATGACAGAGAGCCGCCGCCGCCGCCGCCGCCGCCGTTGCGATGTTGCCAGGTTACCGCCGCCGTCCGAGAATCTTTAGAGATTTATTGTATTGTATATATAGTAACGCATGCACTGGATGGGTGACGCGCATAGTGTTATCACGCGGACTCTTTTAATTGTGTGTTTGTATCGCAAGACGAATGTGTGCAAGTAGCCGAGTGGCGTGTGAAAGAAGGTTTACGCACAACGACGAGATTTCAGGTGGAGATGCCAAAGAGTTTTGGGCTAAAAGATTTCGTTGTTGAGTAACCTCGACCGTTAACGCGTTATAATAAAAGAGTCGAGTGGGTTGTAAAAAAACCGCCGCGTGACAGGTAAATAAAATCTAACGTAATTCTCCCAAACGACTCGCAAAACACGGAGAATATTTGCATAATAATGTACACTTACTGTTTCATTGTAAACATAATTCGTAGTCCAAGTACATAATTTTGGTCGGCGTTTGATTTATACCTGCCCATTCTTTTCACGGTTCGATCGTATCTCCTTTTGCCGAGTCCCCAGCTCCAAGGAATCTAGTTGGAAAATAATTAATTATGACAACCGGCGTTGGTGGTTTGGTCGTATTTCATTGAACAAATAAACTATTAACGTTAATTTTATTTTATTTTCTCGGCGGTTTTGACTTGCACAGCTGTAAAAAAACCCATTTGAATACGCATATCGTTCAAAGCGATGCGTAAATTATAGTTCTTGGAAAAGAAGGTCGTCTGAATAATTGATTCCAATGCGCTTGATAATCAGACGTGTTTGCACCATGCGTGTGTATTAATGAGAATTTAATGCTGTGTGGTAAACGCCGTAGTGTTTTTTTTTTTTTTTATCGCCCGTTAATGTTCCATTTGGCCCATTGAGTTAAATCTCAAAATATCGGTGTTTAAAACACAATACATTTTCAAAAAATCCCGTATAGTAACTACAGTCTGTTGTACTTCGATTTACTCAGTACGCCGTTATATTATTTCTCTCTAATTAAAATCTTTGTCCTTGCGCGCCTGTAAGTGAACCCGTTCGTTATCGGTCAAGTTTCATTGTAACATTAATGATACGACCGACTCGAATCGGCTGCTGTCCATTGTAAAGTAAATTTTTTTTGTTTTTCTTCGGTTTCAAAATTGATAACGTTTTTAATTAATTTCTGATAACCGATTGTTATTATATTTTGCCCATTGTTTGTTCAAGCGAGTGTTAAATATTGACTCACAGTTATTCTTTTGCATATTTTATTTGTTCTACGTATAAAAACCACCACGCATATCGTCTTAATTTCATAATAATATTTTAACGTAGCTTAGCATTATATTTATGTAGATGATATAAGTTTTTTGTTTACATAAATCAAAACTTATCGCATTTTGTACATAGTAATTATGTTTCCGTTTTCCTTTCGACAAAACGTGTACTTCTTTACGCTTTAGTCAAGGATGAATTCCTTTTTGGTCCTTTTGAGAAAATAATAATAATGATAATGAATACTACCGTATGTACACATTATGTAGAGCTGCTGCACATCTCGCTGGCATTGTTTAAACACACATGTAGTAATTGTGCGCGCCTCGAGTTTCGTACGTGGCTCACTTGACAGTAATTAGGTTCTTGGCCGTCACTGCCAGTAAATGTACTCGTATTCTATTCATATTATGTATGCCTCCAGTCCAACTGCGATGCTGTTAGTTAGGCTCGTTTTTTTTTTTAACCATCTCAATGCACTACATTAGCTGTTACACACCGATTTTGAGTGAGTAGTGTGTTCATTTGACACGGTCACCACTTTTCCTATGATACGTTTTAGTTCTCTTAATGTCATACGGATAATTATTGTCAAGTTTAACTATTAAATAATTGTTGACTTCTTTTGTTTCAGGTAAACCAGGTCCAACTCCCCACCCACCTGCTTTCAACATGGGTTATCTCGTCGCACCATACCCATCGCCCTACACGAATGGCACGACGTCCGTGTCAATGGTAAGTTAATTGATTTTTGCTAAACAACTTAAAAAATACGAGAAAAGTTGCAATGGTTGTAAATCTCGATTCAAGTATAAATCGTTAATTTTTCTAAATTAATTAACGAGTTTATCGATATTGTTTCATCGTCCGACGCGTTAAAATTAAAAGTCCATTTAAACTAATGTGATGTTTGCCAAGTATTGTAAGCGTTTTGTTATCGCGTTATTATTTCTTCGTTAACCTTGGTGTTGATAAATACAGTAAATGTTCGAAACCCAATAACAGTTTTTAATCGCAAACGTGCCCAATAATGTTCATTGGTTATTTTTTTATAGATAAGTGCCGGTTATTTCTCTCTGAACCTTTGAACAAATACGCGGTACCTAGTAAATAGAATTGACCGGCAGAACAATAATCTATTCTATACCTGACTGAGGTATGCGACGGCCTTTTATCGATTACGATCTTGACGCCTCCGTATTTGTCTATTATTTTTCGCCGCGTCTTTTGGGTAAATATCTCCGCAAAATTTCGTTTTGATCCCAAGTATACAGCACCCCGTCTGAATACTGAGTCTATTACGACAGTACTCCGGTGTTATTTTTCTGCGGCTTTTGTGTATTAATAGGCGTTGTTAACCAACACGTATTGCATGTTCAACATATGGTAATTTTTAGTGAAAAATAAATACAATGAGCTTGAAGTATTTTTGAACTATAATTACTCTTCAATCACATCCAAAACACGTGCCCGAAGAGTTATTCGCGTTCGCGCAATCACTTTGTTATGTGTTATCAGTTTAACATGTTTCTCTGTTGATGCGTTAACGTTATTTCCGTAGATTGACAATAACCGTTTTTACAAAAAATCTCTTCATTTTCACGGATGTCAATCAAATGTCCCATTTCTACTACACTTGAGTACATATTTTAAATGACTAGCGTTTTAAACAAAATAAAAACGAGCCCATTTGGTAAAACACGCGTTGCCGTCGAACTGCCATGACATTACTGTCAGCTATCCAATTAAGAATTGTATTGGTTTAAACGACAAAATCATCCTCGTTGTTTTGATATCTAGTAAATTTAAATTTTAAATCCGCGGTAGCTGCCGGTTAGTGTTGTTGTATACACTGATGTGTGCGGGCGGCCGTCTTCTGGTTAATGCGGTCAGGCAGCGAAGGCGGCCGCCGTGTTCGGTATCGCAAGCTACAAACGAGGTGGGTAATTTGCCGATGACAAGGGGCCACCGGTGACGAGCGGGGCGGATTCGGCGGCGCTTGACACACACATATAGGCACTCGCGCGCGCGCGTTCACCGCCGCCGCGTCTCGATTAAACAAAACGCCGCTTATATTGCTTGCATCTGCTGCTCCCCTCTCGAATGTTCCCCTCGGAGACAATTCCCCTCTATGACATTGGACGTTATTAAACTGCGGTCGGGCACCCGCCGCCGGCGCGGGACGAAAACTGGTTTGCTGTTGGCCGTTGTCGTGTTGTAGATGTATATGTAATACGCTATGTGTGAGTGTGTGAGTCCATTTCTTTTACGGTAGGATTCGTCGGGGTGGACGACACTGGTTTTCGGATCGGACAGACTGGACGCAAGGCGCGAGGTGTGGCATACCTGTTGAGAGAACGTGCGCTATAATATAGCCTTGAAGAAGAACCGACGGCGGCGTCGTCGGCCACTTATAGCAGCTATTGTATGCGAGTGTGCGTTTGACGGCGTTGCCGGACTTCCGACAACCCAAGTTAACCATGTTACTCGTTCACAAACACATGCATTGCATCGCCGCCACGGTTTTCGTTGTTGTAACGTAATGGGACGTGATTGTCCCAACTTAAGACTTCGCCGAGCGTATAACGTTATTGTAATATTAACGAGCCAGTGGATAGTCTGTTTTGGTGGAATGATTACTTGTTTCGAAACTCGCCTTGTCGCCACCAGAAAGATCGACTCGATTGAATACCGAAAATTAACGTATTTGATTTAAAGATTTTAGATTCTAAACAGTTCAATCGATTTTTGTTTCCATGCCCGTAACAGTTATTCTGGTCAACGAAGAAATATTATTCAACGTTGACCGGAGTTATGCTGTTTTCCGGTTGGTTAAACCGCAGACGTCTAGCTGTGGCTACCGCAATAAAAATAAATCTTCGGTCCGCTGCTCTAGACGTAGACGAAATTATCTATGGAGTTCATGGCTATTGGAAATGATTTTTAATTTCAAGTCGGAATGGTAAAAGTATAATTAAAAAAACGGATGTGTAAACTATCAAAATTGTATACGTTTCTAAAATAAATTATCGATTGTAAAATGTTGAATTGGGTTACCGTAGTTAAAAGCCGTAACTTTAAATAGTTTTGGTCTAGACTCGATTATATATCAGTATTTTGTTATGTCTGTTGCACCCGCCGGTTTGATATTTTATAATAACTGCACAAGAATAGTCATTTTGGAGCTAACAGTTTCGTTTCTATCTAGAACCATTTCATTTTATCTCGTTTTATTTACGAAATGATTGTTTTATATATCAAATGGTTTTTTCGCTGACCAACTGATAATTTTGTATTTTTTTTTTAATGGTATTGTGTACATTTATCCACGTATCGTTTCTTAATTATTTAAAAACTATCCATAAGTATATGGAAATTTGAATTTCCGAAATCAAATTATTTTGTATGCTTATTAGATGCCCACTATTTACGGTTGTGGTCTTTGAAAAATTGCTCACAGTGTACACTATAATTATTTTCCATCGTGATTCATAAACTACGTTTAGTAATTAGAAGCGCAGATTATATGGCGCTTCTAGCTACACTACTGCTAAAAATTGATACATAGGTATATTTATTTTTCAAACCTGTTGAACGGTCGAAGAATCATTATCTCACTAAATATTTAATGATATTTAAAAATCGTTGTATAAATAAATAAAACTCGTTTTTTATGTTTAAATTTCAAGTAAAAATAAACTACTAACGAACCTATTGATATCGAACCAATAGTACGATGCGCGAATAAACACAATACTACTCCCTATGGACTGTCCATCTTTTTGTCCTTTTTTTTTTATGGTAACTAATTATTAATATTATGGGAATTTACTAGTAACCGGCGAACAAGATGGATCCAAAGCATATAACCTGTTTGGTCACAGCTGTCAGTGTTGTTCAAACACTATTATAAAATATGAGATTCGCTTTGGCTATTTGAAATACTGTTTAGTCATTTTATCCGATGTGTTTTATGACGTTGGCTGGCCTCGTCCCTTTCCTTATACTTCATACAAAACCCTTTAAATCGTATACATTGTAAATATCGGCCCTTTTGTGTACAGCTCGGTTTCCATAAAATATGTATAATAACATTATTTCTAATAATAAATCAAACGCATAGTTTAGAGATCTACAGTGGGAACTTGTAAAATATGTGTACACCTTTGGCAAGTACGGAGTTGAAAAAAGAATTTTTGCGGTTCCGTCACGTTTATAGGCCGCCCCTTGCGTGACCGACCGTACAAGTATACGCCTATATTGGTTAACCAGAATTTTGACATTTCCGTAACCCATTATCCGGTACCAACTCCCGAAGGAATTATACAAGAAACGGAAAAAAAAAACCGTAAACCCATTAAATGTTTACAAAATTATCGGGTTTACTTTTTCAATTGTAACGTGCAGAAGGCAAACACGGACAGGTGTCTCATTTGTGTGTGGTTATAGGGCCCAGGCACCAGATTGAATGAGAGGTAACTGCCTTTGATATCATCGAATGTGTACAGTTTGTGTGTTGTGGCGTCATGGTAGTTTACGGTCGAATGCCGATGCCAATAAAACGATGTAAAAAAATTACTTGCCAAGGAACAGCACAAAAAACATCACAGCGTTTAATGATCACAGTCCTTCCGTAAGGGCTCCGTTGGAGATACACACGCTGCAACTGACTAGAATTTTTTTTATTTGTATAATAATTTAAAAATTGGACGTACAAGATGCGTTTGTAGTGTTGTTATTGTCGTCGTTAAAAAATTGTATCGCTACTACTAGTTTCATTAGCCTTTTGTCGTGGAGTAATATTTTTGTAAGAGTAATAACCACGTTGCATGACGTCATGTTTGTTCTTAATTATCTCTGTTCTTACATGCAGTTCATATTCTCTTTGACTTTGTTTGACTGGTCTTGTATTTTAAAACTAGTTTTTTTTTTTTGATGCAAAACATTTTTGTACAAACGCTATGATTTAAGTTGATTTAGTTGTTTCGATGATAAAATCGTTTATTTTTGCACACGCTAACAGTAAATCACAGAAAAAAATAATTTCTTTTGACTTCTATTCTCTACTAGTTGTTACAGTAGTATGATAAAGCAGACATTTCTAATATTTTAGGCTGCTAGAGAAGGGAAAAACTGCTCTGGGCCGTTTTATTAATATTAACAGTAAACCTAGAAAACATTTTTTAATCTTACAAAGGCCGAAATATTGCTGTAATACATTCACTGTCGTCGACGCCGTCATTCCGTCCCTTACAGTGTTTGTTACTCGAGCACAGAATTGCCCAGGCCGTTTCGCCGTTTTCCAATGGCTGGAGGACATGATTCAACGGAATAAAACATCATCCCTCTAATCCGTCTTCCTCTGTTATTGCACACTCTCGCATACCAACGAACTTTCAATGGCTTCCAGACTCATTCTTTCTGCTCTATATTTCCACTCGTCTCTCACGGCCCCAAAACCAATCGGGTTCCTTCTACAGTACGGCGTTTTATTATTATTTTTTTGCCGTTCATTGCACAGGTTATTGTCGAATTTCCTTTCTCTCGGTTCTTTATTAATACTACTTTTTTTTTTGTTTTATTTCGTTATCGGCGTGTCACAATATTGATAAGCACCTGCGACGATCTCATATTACGGC